TTGGTATAAGAGTAAAAAAAAAAAACCTAGGTCATCGGCTTATTCTCTCCATAATCTTTCCCTGATGAAATTGCCCAGATGAAACCTTTCATAATTTTGAAATCCTATTATCGATTCTCATCAAATCCCATTATCAATTCCCAGGAAAACCTATCATCTTTCTCAATTTGAAATATTTCCCAAGAAAACCTAATTTTAAATCTATCATCAATCCATCACCACCTTCAATTACCTTCAAAAGCCCAAATGAATTCTCTCACAATTTTGAGTTTAATTACCTCATAACAAAAAATCAATTACTATTTAATCCAAAAACCCATATGAAATCTCTCAATTTTCTAGTGGTAAACAATTTGAATAGAATGCCAACCATAATTGGTGTAAATACATAGCTGTGTGATATAATTGGATCTCAATTTTCTAGTGGAAAACAAGTTCAGATCCTTCTACATTCACAATTTTTTTGGATTTTTCAGAAATTCGAAATTTGAAATTGCAAAATTGAGTTGTGAGAGAGAGAGAGAGAGAGAGAGAGGGACATGATCCCCATCAATGTCGAGTGGCGGCGACGACTTGGACGAGGATCAACTCCTTTATAAAGCTTTCAAGGAAGAAGCCTAGCGCGACGTCCAGCAACTCTCGTTCTACCTCTTCTCCAATTACGTGCAGCAATCCCACCAGCAACCGCCGCGGAAAATTGCAAGAAAAATAGAAGGGGAGAATTGAGAGGCAAGAAGAAGAACATGAGATTCTCGAGCAAGCGATACGAGAGGGACGAGAGAGAGAGAGAGCGATGAGAGGGATGGAGAGAGCAAGCGAGCAAGAGTGTTTTCTACTCGACTAAATAATACAGTGGTTTCAGAGTGTACAACTAAACGGGTGTACACCGCATAAAATAGGTGGGGCATGACTATTTAATCCGATGACTATTTAATATAGGGTAAAAGACTGTTTACTACTCTTATATTTTGTGGTTTTCAACATTTAGTACATCAAGTTTTTTTCGTCTCAGATTTATACCTAAAGTGTAAATTTTGGGATAGTCTCATATATCCGTTAGTCAAACTGTTAAATCTACGTTAATTGTGACGTGGCGCCCATGTGGACAATGAATAGGCGCCACGTGTCATCCACGTTTTTTTTTTATCTTTTCTTCTTTCTTCTTCTTCCTCCGACTGCAACTTTTTTTTTTCCTTTTCTTCCTCATTCTTCCTTCCCCTTCTTCTCCGTCTTCCTTCTCCTTCCTCCTTCTTCCTTCCCCCTTCTTCTCCTTCTTTTCCTTCTTCTTCTTTCTCCTTCTCCTTCTTCCTCCAAATATGGGGAAGGTTTTTTTTTTTTTTCCTTTCTTCTTCTTCTTCTTCTTCTTCCTCCAAATTTGGGTTGCAGATTCGGTTTTTTTTTTTTTTCCTTTTTCTTCCTCCAGCTGCAACTTTTTTTTTTCTTCCTCATTCTTCTCCTTCTTCCTTTCTCTTTCCTCCTTCTTCCTTTCCTTCTTATCCTTCTTCCTTCTTCTTCTTCTTCTTTCTCCGAATCTGGGGAAGATGAAGGTTTTTTTTTCTTCTTCTTTCTTCTTCTTCCTCCGACTACAACTTTTCTTCTTCTTCTTCCTTCTTCCTTCCTCCTTCTTCCTTCCCCTTCTTCTCCTTCTTCCTTCTTCCTTCTTCTTCATCTTTCTCAAAAAAAAAAAAAAAGGTTGCAGTCGGAGTAAGAAGAAGAAGAAGAAGAAGGAAAGGAGGAAGAAGGAGGAAGCGGAAGAAAGAAGAAAGAAGTAAAAATAAAAAAAAAACCGAATGTGCAACCCAGATTCGGAGGAAGAAGAGGAAGGAAGAAGTAGGAGGAATGAGAAGGAAGAAGGAGGAAGAAGAAGGAAAAAAAAAAAATTCCCTAGATTCGGAGGAAGAAGAAGAAGAAGAAGAAGAAGGAGAAGGAGAAGGAAGAATAAGGAAAAAGGAGAAGAAGGGGAAGGAAGTAGGAGGAATGAAGAAGGAGAAGGAGGAAGAAAAAAAAAAGTTGTAGTCGAAGGAAGAAGAAGAAGGAAGAAAAAATAAAGTTGCAATCGGAGGAAGAAGAAGAAGGAAGAAAAAGAAGAAAAGAAAAAAAAACATGGATGACACGTGGCGCCCATTCATTGTCCACATGGGCGCCACGTCACAATTAACGGCATATTTAACAATTTGACTAATGGATGTATGAGACTGTCCCAAAATTTACACTTTAGGTATGAATCTGAGATGAAAAAAACTTAATGTACTAAATGTTGAAAACCACGAAACATAAGGGTAGTAAACAGTCTTTTACCCTTTAATATATATGGACGTCAACCATCCGGCTCCATATTATTAGTCCTATCCGATGCCTAAAATAGCGTACCAAACGAGGCCTCATTGTAAGAGTATTATTTGTACTTGAAAAAAAGTCATTGTAAAGTGCGATTAGACAAACGACTAAAAGATGACAGTTTGAAGTAGGCAAACGAATAGTCAAATTCGTTTTCTTGACCTAACATAGACAATTGACTACTTCTATATGTGTAGGCAAAACTCGACCTCACACGTCTATTTATAATAAAATGAGTTTGTTTGGAAACGAATAGTCAAATTCGTTTTCACGAGCTACATAGACAATTGACTACTTCTATATGTGTAGGCAAAACTCGACCTCACACATCTATTTATAATAAAATGAGTTTGTTTGGAAGTGCTTTTAAAATGACTAAAAACGTTTATGGTGAAATTGATTTTGGGTTCCAAAAACACTTTAAGTGTTTTTTTGGAAGAACCACCAAATATGTGCTTCTTGCAGAAAATATTTCAAGTTTTTTTTTAGGATCTTACTAAGGATTGGTCTCAAAAATATTTTCATCAAAATAGTTTTCAGTCATTTTAAAAACACGTCGAAACGAACCTGTATTCTATATGGTAAGGGAAAAAAGTAAAAAATAAAAGATAAAATTAAATATCAAAGGTGAAAAAAAATATAAAATAAAATTTTGCGTATTCACCTATTTCATTGGAGTGATACTTTTTTTCATTAGATAATTGTTTTCTGAAAATAAGGAGGATCACAAATTCACAAACAGACAATTTATTAGGCCATCATTTATGCCTGATGAGAAAAAGACACACTTGATGCCGACCAAGTTTAATTGATTCCAAATTCATAGCGACAATACAATACAATACAAGACAAGATTTAAATCTTGCTCGTTTGTTTTATGCATTTAACTTCGCATTTTTACTACAGTTTGAAACACCATGAATTAATCGAGGTGATGACAAATCATTTAGCACTTAAGCGGAGCTTAGACAGTGTTAGGCGAAATTTTTTAGAACATCGACTGTTAGACCAAATGATCACTTTGAACCACAAACCAGATTTTGATACGAAACTTGCCATATAATTTACCCAAATACCATTTCGACCATAACTACTTAGCAAAACAACTTAAAAACTCTTTTACTATCTAAAAACGCTTATAAACAGCACTACTTTCCACAGTAACAGTTTTAACTTTCAAACCAACTAAGTGTTCTTTTTGTGTGGGAAAGCAGGCCTGAATTAAGACAAAGACAGATGCTTAGTTGCATATCAATTTAAAAATAGAATAATAACAATAGTAAAACCAAAAGGACAGAAAAAATAATGTGGAAATAACCAGGTCAACGTGGCCTTATCTCAATCAAACACCACCCTAAAATCCTTAGTCCACATAATCCCAACTCACTCCTACCGGATTTGGATCATCTCCTGAGCTAATAAAGAGGATCCTTCTAACCTATCATCCTAGGCCGTTGAATTTTTATCCAACGGTTACAAAAAAGAGGATCCCTTTAAAGTTATAATAATTATAATCATTGGATAAAAATCCAATGGTCCACGATGATGGGTTAGGAGGATCCTCTCCATTAGCTCAGGAGAGGATCCAAATCCACTCCTACCCAAATCTGCCCTAGCTTGTATTATTCGAGAATTTTTTTAGTATGCTGAGAATACACAGTGGAATACCAAGTGTCATAGACTAAATTTTTTAGTTTTTTTTAAGTTTTAAACCAATTATAGTGTTTCATACTATGTTCTCGACACACTGAAAAATTCTCGTACTCCTCATTCTTCTTGGGCTTTCTTTAAATGTTTTTAGGCTCATTCTTCTTGGGCTTTCTTTAAATGTTTTTTTTTAAATTTTGACCCACATTTTTTTATTGACTTGTAAATTCTTGGTCTTCATTCCAAGTCACATAGATTCACTAATATAATGATTAAGAATTAAGATTGGGGTTAGTTGATAACTTAGACACGAGTTTTGTCTTATTGTATTTGTAAGACGGTTGCCGTTTCAACCAGCAAAAGGTGATCTAAGACCAAGACGGCTTTTACACTCTGTATCCAATTCATTCATGTTCCTCCAAACGTTTGAAACATAACTACTCACAATGCTCTGGTCACATTCATAAATATTTAAAAATTATTATCGCTTAATACTATGATTTAATTATCCATCATTACTTGTAAGCAGAAAGTAATCGATATCAAATTATGAGGTCTATTACGCTGTTGAGCCCAAACTTCTCAACCCTTCTATAAATATATTGTTACATTCATAAGAAAAAAAATAACTAATTATTTGTGGCGTTCGACTTTTAATTATGACTTGCACGATTGCACCGATATAGCTTATTATGCAATAGGAAAAAGTTTTATTTTCAAATGTCTCTCCAATTCTATATAATATGTCGTGTTTGTCCTGTATATCAAATACACTAAAAACTCTCTTGTCCACGTGGCTACATTGTTAGTGATTTTTTTTTTATTAAGTGCTTCCCGGGAGAAAAGTCCGGGAAATTATATCAGCCAATGAAGATATGACACGTTTACCGGACTAGTGATAACTCGTCTTCCTACTTAAATCGAGCGGGATAGAACGGGATGCGATCGCGAGCTCGGATAGAACGGGCCACAGAGGATCCGGAAACAGGAAGCAAAAAAGCCGCTAGTAAAAACTTCGAGCGAAAAGCCGCGGAGAGGACGTCGTGGAATGTGGTCCGCGAGTGAAATGAAGGGGCACAGAAACGAACACGAAGCATGCAGAAGCAGCACTCGTACTCACAACTGTTTCGCTTCTCTATAAGCGCTTCCCCCGAGCTTTTAAAGCCTCGGTCTTCACCCTCTCTCTCTCTCTCTCTCTCTCTCTCAAAGCTTCGAACTTTCAAGATTTTTTCTGCGGATTGGATTGGATTGGATTCGGCTTCCTCCATGTCCGGCGAGCCCGAGCCGTCGTCGTCCGGATTCGGCACCGACGTGCCTGCCGACGTCGAGGACTACAATTCGGTGAGCGTGCGTTCTTTTCTGTTATTTTTGTTTGGCCTGTTTGGCTGCTGAGAAAATGTGGGAAAATGAGGAGAATTTGAGTAATTTGTAGCTGGATTATGTTTATTTTTCCGATGGAAACGTGATTTTGTTAGTTATTTGATCGATGGAAGAAGAACATGTGGGAGAATTTTTTATTTTTTTTAATTTAAGCTTGATATTTTTTAATAATTTAAAGCTGTAGGAGTGGAGGAAACGAGAAAATTTTAGCTGCAACGTGCTTGGTAGATGTAATTTGGGAACTTGGTTCGGTGGAGAGATTGAAGTTTCTTGTGTTTTCCCGGCATTTTCTTTGCCAACGAATTCGAAGAACGGAGTTTTCATCATTCATTGGATTCAAGTTTTGTTTGTAGTGTTTGGCTGCTGCGAATATTTCATGAAAAAACAAATTGATTATTATAGTTTGCTTGTTTTCTTTCCTTTGTATCCATTTAAATAAAGTATCATGTCGAATTCGCGTTCTTTTTTTCATTGGTTTATATAGCTGGTGCCATTGGTTGGTTGTTTATTTTTTCGAACTTTTGAGCTAAATTTAAACTGCGGAACATTCGGCATGTTAAGGGCTTGTTTGGTATCCTTGAAATTTTTTATAATTTTTCAAAACATAGAGAGAGAAAGAAGAAAAGAGAGATAGATTTGGAGTGAGAGGGGACGAGGGAGAGAAAAGAAAGGACTGAGTTTAAGTTTAAAAACTCTAAAAACTCACTTTTTGTGTTTTTAGATAATAGACTATATTTAGTAGACTATATTTTTGAGTAAGTTTTGAGTTCAGGTGAATCTGATGGTATGGCAATGTCTGAAATGCAGGCTAATGAAGGAGAGCCATCATTGCCCCGGGACATATTTGGTCACATTTTTGATCTTGTGAAGAATGGAAATCAGTCATTTCGGGAGAATCGCTTTGAGGAGGTGATATGTTAGTGTCAATCACTTTCATTCTGAGTGTGTACATTATCTTCTTATGTGAGCTTCTAAATTTTAAAATCCACACGATATGGTTTATTAGTGTTCTTGATTTGTTGCAACTATCCTAGGAAACCTTGTCTTTGGAGTTACCTACTAAGTCTTACCCAACTATTTGAGTTGTGAGGACTGATATGAGGGATGACTATAATCTTCTTCCATTGTATTTGTGGATTTCCTTAGATGACCAAGGCTTTTAGTAACCTTAGTTTTATTGGAAATGGTGATTGTGATCAGGTAGATGTCGTTGATATGAGATTCTTAGAGGAGTATACGGGAAGCAGAGATTCAGTGTTTATTGATTATATTCCTTAAGAGGTAATTATATGCTGTACTAGTTTTGACAAAAGAAGACATGGTATTGCAACCAATGTCGTTCTTCCGTCAACTGAAGGGACATGTAATTTTTTGTTTTTAAACCTTTTTGTTGTGGTGGTTTCCTTCTTGCTCTGTTTAGTGTAGGGGCACCAAGGGTTATCAGTTTGGGAAGGATTATTGTAGTACTGTTATTGTTGTCGTTATTATCATCGGAGTATTCCTTGATACTGTGTTGCCACTATTGGCATGCTTATTACTTTAGGAAATAAAAAATGTTACAATCAAATGATACATTTTTCTTGGTGACTGGAATGATCATTAGCTCTTTATCATTCTGCTTAATATTTTGTGTAATTTCATGAGTTTTAAGTTTTAGACTGAAATTTTTTCGGTTAGCTTCTCTGAATTCTTGTTTGTCCATTGCTGATTAATCAAGTTCATATCCTCAGGCAATTAATTGTTACTCCAGAGCCAATAACATTAAACCATGTGATCCAATTATTCTTGCCAACCGAAGTGCTGCTTACATCAGGTTAATTTTATATATTATATTCTTTTACCTTAATTTTTCTGCCATTCACTGTCTAGGTTATGCTGCTTTTCTCAAGCATCTTTGAGATGAATTTTGACCTAATTTTGTACACTGTTTGTAATATGTTTTGTTAACCTTATTTCAAGCAGGATCAGTAAATTCCTTAAACGCATACCAGCATCGGCTTCTGAATATAAAGCACGGACTGGATTGGATCCCACAACACATGCTGAAGTATGTCTTATTGGTTCACTGTTTATGTATTAGGAAACAAGTGTCTTTTTCAACCGGATAGCCGTTGGTTACATTCTAAAGAACTTAAAAAATCTTCAGCTTGCATTAAAGGATGCAGAGAAGTTAGTCAACCTTCTAAGTAATTCAGAAAAGGCGTACATATTAAAGGCCGAAACTCTCATTTTGGTGAGAATGTGTTGCTATTTATTTTACCTTTATACTTTTCTTAAGAGGAAGAGGCAACCAGTGGTTAATTACTTGTAAATTTGTCACGCTGTGTGGCTCCTTTTCATAATTTTTGTCAGATTGGATATGAGGTTACAACTATTTATTATTATTTTTCTCTGCAATGATTAGTTTCCCCCTTCCACCTTTTTACTTGTGATTGATTAGTTTGCATTCATTTGAATTGGCAGTTGGAGAAATATGAAATGGCCCGTGATGTTATTCTTTCGGGTCTTCAGGTTAATCCTTTTAGGTAATAATAACGCTATTCACTTTCCTGATTACTAAATAAATGGATATAACATATTATATGTTATTCAAACCCACTGGCTGTACGAGATTCTGTTTGTGAATTTCTAATTTGTTTTTGTGTGGTATTCTGTAGCAATTATCTTCAGGAATCTTTCCAGAATTTAGAGAGAATACGAGCTAATTTCACAGGGAGGAGAAGCCATAGAAAAGCAGAACGCAGTGATGACTATGATTGCACACTATGCTTAAAATTACTATACGAACCTGTCACAACTCCTTGTGGGCATTCCTTTTGTCGTTCATGCCTATTTCAGTCAATGGATCGGGGTGAGTGTTTTGCTGGTATTGTTCTATTTAATTGAGCTTGTATATATCTTTCTCTTCTTCTTTCTCTGACCTGTGTTAATTATCTTAGGTAACAAATGTCCTTTGTGCCGAACAGTTCTTTTCATTAGTCCTCGAACGTGCGCAATCAGGTAAATTGCTGATTTATAATATTTGAATGACTTGTATCATTTGACATCAGAATTATTGCTTTATGGTTTTTTGTGCCCATGCTTTTTTTTAGTTGGGGAATGGCTGAACATCCTGGCAACGGTTCAGGATTTCACCTTGTAATGTTCATCATGCAATGTTTTATTTTCATTTTTGCCAGTGTTACACTCAATGACATTATACAAAAGAACTTCCCAGAAGAATTTGCCGAAAGGAAGGTAGAGAATGACCAAATGACAAACTTTGGTGTTGATTTGATGCCTCTCTTTGTAATGGATGTTGTCCTCCCATTCCAGAAGTTTCCGCTGCACATTTTTGAACCGCGGTATAGACTTATGGTAAGTTGCTTAGCAATTTATAGTTTTCACATATGACATTCATAAAATATTGACATAGAGGTACATTTTATGCAAAAGAACTATGTTGACAAACTTATCTGGCAAAGTTTTTGTTTATCAACTTGGTACATTTGTATGGTCCATGTGTTTGTATAGAATAATTATAGATTTTGTTTTTAACTAACTTGTTACTTAAACAACAGGTAAGGAGGATAATGGAAGGCAATCGTCGGATGGGAATGGTAGATTATTGTCACTGGTCCTTTTCTTTCCTTTTCAACATTTTGTACCTATATGAAGTTTGATACGAAGTATAACTTTCACCGACTCTGGCTTTCTTGTATTTTATAGGTTATCATTGATTCTTCAACAGGTTCAATAGCTGATTTTGCTTGCGAAGTGGAAATTACCGAGTATGTCTTTCATCATCCTTCTTTCCTTCTTAAGTTTATATCATGCAGAATGTCATTTGTAAACTCCACTATGAATGTTGCCTCTTAATACTTCTATTTTATAGATTTTTTTTCTTATAACTATTTTACTAATTACTATCTATGTAGGTGTGAGCCACTTCCAGATGGGCGTTTTTATTTAGAGGTTAGATACTACTTTTCATTTAACGAACGATTATCCTTTATGTTTCGTGGCATACTGTTTTTTGTGATTTTCCTCTTCATAGAGCCAGTCATATATTTATAACAATAAAATTTCAAGCAGATTGAAAGTCGGCGAAGGTTTTGCATAATTCGATCTTGGGACCAAGATGGGTGAGTTGTCTAGCTATTCATTCAGCCTCCAGTAACTGTTCTTGGCATCTTGCTAAATATATTTGTCATTTTAATGTGCTTTTCAGATACCGTGTTGCGGAGATTGAATGGGTGCAAGACATTCCACCAGAAGGGTCTGAAGCGAGAGAAGAAGTAAGTTTATGATACTTTGGTTTCTCGAAATGGGAAGATGGACGATAATGTCATTCCTTGTTTTCCTGTCATTTTGGTTGTGCACAGTGGTTTAACTTCTATGTCTGTACAGTTGCAGGAATTGGCAAGAAATGCAGCAGAATATGCTCGATCATGGATAGCGCGGGGTAAAAGAGCGGCACGTCAAGGTAAAATGCTCAGGGATGACGTATGGTCTTTTTCGAGAGTATACATGTGTTGCCAGTTTCCATGAAAATGGTTTCTGCCCCTATTTTTATGTTGGTATCCCATATTCCACTTTTAATGTATGACCGTCTCTTTGCAGATCGAAGACGACTTGAGAGACTTCTCGGTGTGGAAGTGATGATGCCTTCACTACAAGATCCTGAACGCTTCAGCTTTTGGGTAACCTTATAACTTTCTGTTCATTTACCGTTAGTATATTGAGGGCACGATCATGTTACTAACGCCATTAATGTATGATTGGACGCAGCTTGCTTCCTTATCAAACCGGCGTCCTCATGAAAGGTTGGATCTTCTACGCTTGCGAGACACAAAAGAGGTATTTTACTTCTCTCCCGTCTTTGCATTAGCGATTTCATGGACACGTAAGGCCTACCGATGAATTATACTTCTCAACAAACACATGCTATTTGAGATCTCATTTAGAATAAGTTCATACGTTAACGCCATGCCGTATGAACTACAGAGCTGCGAAGCTCTGTTGTTTGTGTCATTAGGCGGTTTCTTATCCATTTTTGGTCTTCAGAGAATACACCGGGGACTGATATATCTTGGAGCCGAAGAGCAGGGTTGTCAAGTGCAATGAGGGAAAGCTGTAATTGGGTTTAGTTCATATGAATACAGTTTAGAAGTTAAATTGTTATACAAGCAAAATTACATGCTTTGAAAATTCAGCATTCTTTGATCCACAAAATGTTGGTGGATCCCTTGTTTTTTGTTGTAACATTGGGTTTAACCCGTTTAATAATTACCATAAATAAAATCAAGTTTCTAAAATTTTGAATTTATAAATTTTCTCTTTTTTTTTATTAATTTTTCTTTAGAAGTCTGGATTGCTTAGCAGAAATTAACGATCAACATTGAATTGATGACATACTACATTTATTAACGTTCCAATCTAATAGATAAAAAATTGAGAGAAATACTAAGGAGACTCAAAAGCATGACTTATATGAACTCTCCGCTATCTAACAGTTTAATATTAATTTTTGTGTTAACATTATAAAATATTGTATAAAAAACATGAGGTGGCAGAGAATTCACGAAAATTCTTACTTTTGAGAGGGTCTCCTTAATACTTCTCGAAAAGCGGATCAACCTCTTTTTGTTGTACAAAGTTGAAGAGTTGACTCTTAAATAATCATGGTCTAAAATATCCATAATATTCCGATATTTTCATCGAAATTTTCGTGTTTTTAGACTATCAATATTTTTTTGGACTACCGATATTTCCGATATCATCGATATTTTAGACCTTGCTAAGTCACTCATGTATCTTACCATGCAATATATAAAGTGTAAAATATTGTACTAATTCATTATATATAAATGATTATGGTGTGTTTAAACTTATTTAATTAATTACTACATATTTTCTACACTCACAATGGTTGCCAGCTCGTTATATAATCAACTTAAATCAGTTATATCTATCATGCAATGCATTTCCTTCCAATTTTTTGTGATAAACTAATAGATAATTGACTAAATAAACATCCTGTAAAGTTTCAATAAAAATTTCCAAGTTTTTTTTACAATTTCTGTGGTTTTTATTTAATTTTTATCGATATCGATAATATCCCGATATTTCTATCGAAATTTCCGTATTTTTTTACTACCGATATTTCCGATATCATCGCTATTTTATTCCTTGCTCTTAATTAGATCCCAAGCAACGTTGGCCTGCATTTTAATACGTTTATTTGCTGACTTCTTCGAAGCCGTCCATCTCTGTCGTCATACTATTGGTTTGTTCCTCTTAAACGTGATTTACTATTCATATAATTATCGACTTGGGAAACACTCATGCGTGTTTTGGTTTGCCTGCAATCTCTAGTGTGCATGCACCAATCCTAGAGTAACTAAAATACTTTTTGACAATAAAAAACGTTTCAACAAAAGAAAGTTAGAAGTGATTTTTTAATATTGGAAGCACTTTCTAGATAAGCGAATGTCAAAATGCTTATTCCTAAGTACCTTCATGTGCTTTTTATGAAGTACTAGGGCTTTTAATAAAACTTTCAATGCGTTTCTTAATGAAAGAATTTATAACGTAAGTGTTTATGAGCAAAAGTGATTCTTACGTGAACAGTTTTAAACGAGCTCTAAGTAGTTATTATTCATTCTAGTTAAATCATGATTTGACATGCATGCATAACTAGTTACTTTTGTATAAAAAGTTGCGCCTTGCATGCAAAGGAGCCAAACAATGTTCGATATGTTTGAAACGACGTCGCAGCATCATAATTTTGTGTTAAGCACAATATTTGGATTAGTAAGGTAGTTAGTGATAAGATTACAAATGCATATATATATTTATAGAGGTTTGAGGGCTCAACGCATAGCTCGCTGTCCCTCTCCATTTCTTTTACCAAGTCTCTCTCATCCATCACACAAACTCAAACAAACAAAAACAGCAACAGAAACAAACATCTCTGCACGTTTTCTTCCTCCAACAACTTCATCATCTCTTCTGATCTAATCTTTATCTTCTCTTTTCTGTTTCCTCCAACTGTTTAACCATTTTTATACATTCGAAAACCACGTATTCCTCCTCCCTCACCACCCCCATTGTTCTTGAGTTAACCTTGCTGCATTTTGGTTTTGTGTCCAATCCAATCCGATCCCATTACTATGATCAACACCTCCACCTCCATTGCCACCACCGCCGCCATTGCCCCATCGTTGCTGCCTCCTCCTTAATTAAACCCCGCTAGAAAACATCAACGATGGGGAGAAAGATCAATGGGGCATCACCACCAATGCCTCGGCCTTTCTTCTCCCTATCCCTTCCTTTCCTTCTCCTATTCACGTCAACCTTCAACTTCGCCAACTTTGTTTCGGCCAAAGGTCACGAATCTTCTTCTTCTTCTCCTCCTCCTCCTCCTACTGCCACATTCTCTCCCTCCGATAACTTTCTCATCGATTGTGGCTCGTCCCAACAAACCAAGCTTGACGATGGCAGGACATTCAAATCAGACCGTGACACGGCTAGTCTTTTGTCCACAACCGAAGATGTCCAAACTTCAGTTGATTCAATCACTGCCAATGCCTCTTCCTCTATACCACCTTCCTCTCAACCTTTGTATCGCACTGCGCGAATCTTCTCCGAAAAATCCACCTACTCTTTCTACATTAACAAACCGGGGCAGCATTGGATCAGGCTTTACTTCTATCCACTTCCACACAACACGTATAATCTGACGAGAGCGGTTTTTCAGTGAACGCGGATAAGTATGTTCTCTTGCATGACTTCTCCGTGACAGACAATATGACGTTGGTGTTTAAAGAGTACATTCTCAATGTCACGGAAAACAGATTTTCGCTACATTTCGATCCCAAGAAGAAATCGTGTGCGTTTGTTAATGCTATTGAGGTTGTCTCTGCCCCTGACACTATGTTCAACAATTCAGCTACATCCGTTTCTCCGGTTGGAGACTTCAACAGCTTGGCTAATTACGCTTTTCAAGTTCGTTACCGTGTAAACATTGGAGGGCAGTTGATATCTCCAGGAAACGACACATTGTCAAGGACTTGGGAGCCTGATAGTGCATACAATGTATTTCCACAAGGAGCTAAAAACGCGTCTGTGGCTACGAAAGCCATCAAGTATCCACAGAGTGGCGCTTCTCCATTGATTGCCCCGAATTGGGTTTACTCAACTGCTCAACACATGCGAGACTCTGCTACAAGCCAGCAGAATTTCAACCTCACTTGGAAGTTGAATGTCGAAGAAGAGTTTTCGTATTTGATTAGGCTGCATTTTGCTGACATTGTGAGTAAAACCCTTAACGATTTATACTTCAATTTCTACATCAACGGGATGATGGCCGCGTCCAACCTTGACCTTTCCTCACTCACCGGCGCGCTCTCCACTGCGTATTACAAAGATTTCGTGCTCAATGCCACGGCGGTGTCAAGTGAAAATAGTACCATCAGAATTCAGGTTGGTCCCGGAACTACTGGGTCAGGCTCTCAGGATGCACTTCTTAATGGATTGGAGATATTAAAGATGACCAACGTTGCGGATAGCCTGGATGGTCTTTTCGGGGTTGATGGATCGTACAAGGGGCCAGGAAGAGTAAGCACCGTGAAGAAGATAGTTGCCGGCGTTGGTTTGGCAATGGGAGTGACAGCAATGTTGTTAGTTGTTGTGGTTGTTGTCCGGTGGCGCAAAAGACCTCAAGGCTGGGAAAAGCGAAACAGCTTTTCGTCGTGGTTGCTTCCTCTCCATTCGAGCCAGTCTAGCTTCTTCTCCAGCAAGAACAGCTCTCGCAAATCAAGCGTCTTTGGGTCGCGCAAGAGCAAAAGCGGTTACTCAGGCTACTTCTCATCCTATGGAAGGTCCTTCACCTTCGCTCAGTTACAAAATGCAACACAAAACTTTGATGACAAGGTAGTGATTGGCGTTGGTGGGTTTGGAAAAGTGTACCTTGGGGAGTTGGAAGATGGCACAAAGCTCGCGATCAAACGAGGAAATCCAAATTCGGAGCAAGGCATTAACGAATTCAGAACAGAAATGGACATGCTTTCCAAGCTGCGCCATCGCCACCTTGTTTCGCTGATCGGATTTTGTGATGAGAATAATGAAATGATCCTTGTGTATGAGTACATGGCGAATGGACCGCTTCGCGACCACCTCTATGGCTCGAACCAGCCTCCACTGTCATGGAAACAAAGGCTTGAGGTTTGCATTGGTGCTGCTCGCGGTTTACATTACCTGCACACTGGTGCCGCACAAGGTATCATACATCGTGACGTAAAGACAACAAACATTCTCCTCGATGAGAATTTCGTAGCAAAAGTTTCAGATTTTGGCTTGTCAAAAGCTGCGCCTACGCTGGAACAAACCCATGTCAGCACAGCCGTCAAGGGTAGTTTTGGTTATCTTGATCCGGAGTACTTCAGAAGGCAACAGCTAACTGAGAAATCCGATGTCTATTCTTTTGGTGTGGTGCTTTTCGAGGCGCTATGCGCAAGGCCTGTCATAAACCCGGCCCTGCCAAGAGAGCAGGTGAGCTTGGCTGAGTGGGCAATGCAGTGGCACAGGAAAGGCATGATCGAAAAGATAATTGATCCTTATATCGCTAGCTCAGTTGACTCTGGTTCGCTGAAAAAGTTTGTAGAAGCTGCAGAGAAATGCCTTGCTGAATACGGTGTAGATAGGCCTAACATGGGAGATGTGTTGTGGAACTTGGAGTATGCTTTGCAGCTTCAAGAGGCCGCCTCGCAGATTGATCTGCCGGAAGATAAAACTTCCAGTCTCATTTCTTTGGACAAAGCAAGCGAAAACGGATCAAAGGAAGGCTCTGCTGTCGGAGTGAGTGATGATTCTGGAGTGACAATTGGTTCTCCTGCGTTTGCTAAAAAAGGGAACATTCAGGGGAGGTGAAATTCGCCCTAGTTCCGATTTTCTTCTCGCACTTCTGGTTCCTACTGGTTCGAGTTCCATGCTCCACTTTAGCAGTATGACGAGCATCGACACGAATCAAAGTAAAAATGGCGTCGATTGAACTGTTAGTTCACAGTTTGGGAAAAAGCTTCTTAGATAGGTCTCTCTTTCTTGGTTTTTATTAACTCAGTAAGATGTTAGTGATTGCCTGCTAAGTTGTCCAAGCAGTTTGTTTTGAACTTTATCAATCTATAGAATTATCCGTATGTTTTGAGCTTTAACATCATATCTGTGACTGCGTACTGTCGAGGACTCGAACGCAAACACCGTGATCTTTCCGGGAAAATTAAACTGCATCTTAACGAAAAATTAAACGAGGATGAACTCATGAGCTTAAACTTTTAATTAATGCTAAAATTTGTCAAATCATATGCACATAAAGAGCCCCAAACCAAATATACACAAGATATTTCAACTGGCTTCATAAACCATGAACTAAAATGCAAGCAAAACTTACAAGACTGTGTGACTTCCATACATAAAGAATATTGTGCATCAAAGTTTCTCCGCTATATGTTCGAAACTCCGAAGCTCGGGTACCAAACTTGTTTTCTCCACCCAAAATTGTTTGCAGAGCTCAAACTTGTACCGGCATTTCCGTTATACGTGCTTCAACTTGAGATATGTCCTCCCTCCTCAGCGATGACTGGAGCATCGGAGTGCCATTGCAAGTCTACTGCGCGATGTTTTGCAGCTCTGTTATTGCGCTGTCAATCCTAATTTCACGAATTCAGTAGCAACCTAGCAGCTAAAGATGTTATATTTCTCTATTCAATTAGCCAGTTTGGAAGCGAGAGCTTTATGCCGAGCTACCAGAACTTCGTTCATCTGCGCGATTTGGTGCAGCAGTTTATTGATTTTCTGCAAATGCATCAACTCAAACAATTCAGTACACAGACAAAGGCTACATTGACAGTAACAAACAAGATATCAACTTCAAGCAATCATACAAACCAACAAGAAATAAAAGGAAGCTCGAAAATCGCTTCCAGCATAAAGTTTTCAGCACCCACATTGGCATTCCATCGAACACATAAAAGGCAATCAAATTTGGAGCAATGCATCAAACATTTGGTAGGCAACATCTAAATTCAAGCCATTGGATGATAAACTAACCTCGTCTTTCTCTTTGCGGATCGATTTCAAATGATTCCGATACCGCCTTTGCCGAGCCCGCAAGAACAAGGACCATAACACGAACACAACAGCCGCCATTCCCGCGCCAGAGGCAAAACTCCAAACTTTATCGAACCCAGATGAGGAAGCCATAGCAGAAACCTTGGAACGCAGTAACCCAAAGCCAATTCCTACCCAGGTGGTGAATTCGCCAGGCTTTCGGACCAGGGTATCGGACGGAAGCGGCGAAAGCGGGCCCGATTCATCGGAATCGGACGGTGAGAATGACGACAGCGACGACGACGAAGAAGATGACAGCGACGGAGACGACGGCGGTGGCGATAACGTGTCCGGATGCTTTTGATCGGGTTGTGATGGATGGTGAAGATTTTCGTGATTGATTGGAGGGAAGACGGAGCAGTCAGTATTGGGTGAGGGAGTGTCCCTGATGGCGACCATGGACCATTCTTTGTGTTTGGTTTCGGGGATGCTTTTGAATTCGAATCCCGCTGAATCGAAGTGCTCGCCCGCCATTTTAAAGCCGGCTAAAAAGCTCGAGAAAACTCCATGGAAGCCCTCTGGATCGCCGCCGTGTCTTCCAACGGTGGTGATATCAGCTAATCCAAGGAAAACTAACGATAACGGCCTCAATAACTAAATTTTAACCAAAAGTGCTCTTAATTTTATTTAATGGTTACGACAAAATTCAAACAAAAATCAGCCCAATAAAGCTGAAAATCAGCCCAATAAAGCCGGCCCAACGTTGAAAAATTAAAAAGTAAAAAAAAAAAAGGCCTTGAAATGTTAAAAAGATTTGTGTGATCTGGAGTATTTTGTATCATTATCATCCCGCTAGCCGCGACATCTTGTGGAAGCAGTGGCGGAGTCATCATGAGGTCATTATCATCATCATTGGAATTATTAGGTGATATCACCCTAATAATTTCAAAAAACTCATGTATATTTGTTTGTATATTGTATTTGATCTCGATAAACAGCTAAGACAAACTAAATTACAACGTCCTCCTCATACTTCTTCTATTTTCTTCTATCATATTTGTCTTCATTTTCTCTCTTCTTATATGAAATAATTTAGTTGAAAAACCTTCCCAGTCTTCAGCATTACTCCATTGTATTGCATCCACCCTCGACAAACCTCTACAAATAATAGTAGTTATCGATATATATTGGCATAAACTGCATCATGTGTTGACAGAAATTGGCAGGTGTCTACTAGTTGCTCGACGAAATGGCCCAATGAATTTTTTTTGTTGATATTATGATCCTATTATTTGAAAATTCTGACTACGCCACTACGTGGAAGCAGCCGTTTTTGGCAAGGAGCATGAAACTCTCGCTGTGGTCGACTGATCATTCCTCTTCGTTGTTTGTCTCTGAATTTTCGCAACATATTATGGACCTTCAATTTTCTTTGCAGGGTGTTAATGTCTGTATTAAGTTCATGTGAATTATTAATAAGTTTTGAATTATCGAATAATTATGGTTTCTTGAGTGCATGAAACATATTTACAGGGCGCAATCCGCCTACGATTGGTACGATTTCGAGTCTGCAAGCTTTGTTGTTGTTGCCCAACTTTCACTGCCATTCAATTTGAAAACAAGTTGTAGTTTTAGAAAATGGTGAACGTAACTAAACTACTTAGTACTTATTCGTTGATCATCTTAAAGTCCAAGTTTAAATTTTCTCAAGACCTCAAGGTCCCGTTTGGCAGCTCGGACTGTGCTGACTATTTTAGTCGGATATGATAAATAGTTATCGAATAGTACAGACTAAATTTGTCTGACGTTTGGTGCAGTATTAGACTAACAACCGTATTATTTATACTATGTTTGGTACTATACCGGATATAAGGAATTCAAAGTATTATTACTTTTAAGATAAATATTGATGATTAATGGAAAAAAATATAATTTTTTTTTACATTTTCACGACCACCAAATGGGTCAAATTAAAAAAGAACAAAATCTACCTTTATTTAATCAAACTTAAAATAAAATTAGAAAAAAAATTGTAATCATCTCTTCAGTCTTGTCTTCCCTAGATCTCTCCGTCGCACCCCCTAACACCCTCACTCCCCATCTCCTTGCTGTTCTTGGAGCTACTATCAACATCGTCTATCAAAAACCAAGAACCAAAGTGAGTAATGGAATCAACTCAGCTCAACACCAGAATTCTGTAGCTCCAGAAAATAAGTAACGTTAAGAAAACGCGATCAGAAACGCCGACGAATTGAGCTGCAAGACGGACCTTAACAGTGATGTCGTTCTTGCGAGCCTTGAGAGAGCAGGCGAAAAACTAAGGGAGCGGATCAGACTCAAAGCTTTCGATGTGCAACGACCAAGCCTCGAGGCTCTTGTAGCAGAGGAAGACATGGAGTCCATAGGCATTGACGGTGCCGGCAAGAACGACGACGGGGAGAACGACGATGGTGAGGGGGCCAACGGCGAAAGGAGGTGTCGTGGAGAACGAAGTGCGTGAGAGAGGGAAGGAAACCAGACTAATAATCCATTCTTTTTGGAAGGGTTTATTATGCAGGTGCATACCCTACTAAATAAATTAATCCGGCGACTATTTAATACGAGAGGACACCAAACGACCGGGTCCGTATTATTAGTCCTATCCGATCCCTTATACGACTCACCAAACGAGGCCTAACATTCGGAAACAAAGTACAAGCAATGCCAGATAATCCATAGTTGATGCTCAGGTAGAAATCTCAGAAACTAGAACAAGATAATCTAAACAATCACGTAGAGATCGTCGAATCCTTTCCGAAATACTTCGGAGCAGAGCATGTCGTAGAGCTGAGGACATCCGAACGCGATGCTCAATGCGACAACTAAAACTTGAAGTGGCACAACATATCTCAACAAGGCATCTCTTTTGACATAAAACGCCAGAGCTAGTTACCTCAAGAATTCAACAACCGTTGCTTCCTAGTCCTGACTACTAACCTAAGTTGACAAACCCTAGACCGAAAATATGCTTATGATGGATGCACTTACAAGGAGAACATAATAGCGGAAATTCTATTGTCCTGTACACCGGATCATACTAGAAAATCTCGAACAAATTCAAATGGAAAGTATACCGCGGTCGATAAATAAAATTCCTTCTTTAAGGCTTACTAGAACACAGTACAAAATGATATCAAGATTGTAAAAGAATTCTATTCTATCGTTCTTGAAAGTTGGAAGCAAGTAGAACGACAACTGAACAGACGAAATACAAAGTAAACGTGAACTGTAATCGAGTTTAAAATCTTCTTCTGTAACTGATGTATTACATCATTACCTACCAAATAATCAAACATTCGAGGTGACGAGGATGTTTTACTCACTAGCTGTGTGATCCGCTGCCCCCTTGCACTGGATGCCACCGAATATCAAACTGATCAACAAACTCTAGAGGGGCTGCCGTCTCGTTCCTGATCCTCTTGATCTTAGGGCTCAATAAACCCCTGTGCCTAAACCCATACAGCTTAAGCACCTGGTTATCCGCAAAATTAAACGCCCTCTCCATGCTGCTCAAGCACCTCTCCACCGGGTAATCCCCGTAACTTCCACAGGGCTTGCAACCCACGAAGTGGGTCACAAACGGCCACCTCTCATCACCCAAACCCGGATGATACTTCTCAATCATCTCCTCATACCGATCCACCAACCCAGCCCAGTAACCGTGCAAATAGTACGAATTCTCAACATACACCTTCTCCATCCACCGATCCTTCTGCGAAAGCAACAGGTATATCAACGCAGACTGATCATCTGCCTCGAACGCCGGTCTCCCCTTCAAATTAGCCGTCAAAATCTTCCCGGCCTCCTCCCTTATCGGACCCTTAGGACCCATCGGAGCCCAAACATCAAGCAAATCCAAAGACCACTGGCAATTCCTAAACAGAAAACTCCCGGTGTTGAGCGCAATCCACGACTTCTGATCAAACAACAAATCGGGGTACCCATGAATCACAAGATTATGACTATCATACTTGGACAGCGGAATCTCAAACACCATGTCAGTAAACAATGCATCACTATCCATCCACCAAATCCACTCAACCTCGGGATGCGAAAGCATCAGCCTCCGAATCAACGGCAATTTCGCCCAATACCCGGCGAGTTCCTTATCCAAATGAGCTAAATTATACACAATTTCAATCCCATGAAGTCTACAGTAATCAATTTTGTTCTTGATTACCTTCAACAAGTAATGATCCCCAATTGGGTTATCACAAGGCTTAGGGGGAGACCCAGTAACGAGAAGAACACGGGGCTTACCGTTGACCAAGCTCGGAAAATCCGGATTCAACCGGAGCCAATCCTTCCGCTCCTTGTCCCAATTCGCGATCTTGGGTCCGAGCGTGTAGGTGATGTTGGGGTTGATCTCGGTCTCGGTCAGCTCGTCCGGATCGTTGGGGTCGGAATCGGACCGGATCTCGGCGAGGATCCGGTTCGTCTCTTCGATCAAATTCTGGTTGACGGCGTCGGCCTCGGAGCTGCCGAGGTTGCCGACGCCGATGGTGCCGCGGAGGACGAGGATGGTGACGAAGCCGCAGAGGATGGTGATTTTGATGTTGTTGAATGTCTTCTGGATCTGCCGTCCACGTGGCAGGGCTCCGTAAGCGCGGCCCGCACGGCCGTTGGCCGAGGTTCCAGTGGTGGTGGTCGGAAGCCCGCCCGAGCTGGTACGCTTCTGAGCTGCGAAAGGACTGTCTTGCCCCATATCCAATCGCCTTGTGGGCCGAGTGTGTTCGGTGTTTTATGGGGGTGTATTTGTAAATTTGTACGGGGAGGTTATAGGGGCGTGAGGATGTGTAAAACCCTAGAGGGAGATAGTGAGGGGGGCATGGCGGAAGGATTGGAGATTATTGGAAAAATGGGGGAAATGTAAGGACATGCGTCCAACATCGACTGTCGTGGGGCTTTACGTCTTTTAAATTTTATTGTCTGATCTGGATTTCGAAGTTTCTTTTGAAATGGATTTTTTTTTTCTTTTAACAAACGAATTTTTTTATACTATGATTATTAGGTCCGCGCTGATTGCGAGCTAAAATTAAGAGTAAATTGATCCGGAGAGAATCTTTTTTAAAGGATGATTCTTTTTTCTCCTATTACCATCTCATTCCTATCATTCTTTTCATATTTTATTTTTTGTCTTATTGTTTCTATAAAAAAATAAATATAAAACATTAACGTAACTACGAGAAGAGAGAAAGAGAGAGAATCCACCTCTCAAACTTTTTACTTAATTTTTTAGGTAGTGTCCCACAAGATCCCATCTCAGCAGTCATGTCAGTGTCTTCATCCTCATGGACCATGTGCCATGTTTCAACTTACTGATCGTAGCAGGTTTTTAGGAGTTGCACAAAATGGACCCGGCTTCTGCGATCCTAGTTTTCATACGCTCATATCTCCTTCTATTTTGTGCGGGTCATAGTTAAGGCATGTTAACATTTTATATTAATTTTTTTTATAAAGATAATAAGATAAAAAGTAATAGTGATATAAAATGTTGACGTGACTTAAGAGTGACTTCATAAATAAGAAGAGATAAGAATGTATGAAAGCTGGGAGGACAGAGAAGCCATGTTCGCACAAAATTATCCTTCTGTTGAAAAAGATCCTAATCACACCATTGTGGCT